ATGCCTGGAATATAGATTCCAAGCTATAAATATTTTCACAGGGTATTTACACAGGATGGATGATGTTCCTGTATAAGAAGACTATGGGTAAAATATATTCACTGATTTTTTCAGGCAGTTCTCACCTTGCTTGGTACTGTGTTAACGAAAATATGTGTTTATTGGACAGACGCCTTGTTTTACACACTCACGTGGTAAGAATTCCAGTTAATTATGCTCAGTGAGAACTGTCTGTAATTTTAAAGCAATTTGGTACAATCCTGATGACATTTTTCTTTCTAACTTTGACAAGATGTTTCTAACGTTCATCTAAAAGAATAAATACGCAAGCATATGTAACAAGTTTGCAATGGCAGAAAGACGAGAATAAAATTGTGTGATCAGATATGAGAATTCACAAGGAACAATTAAAATACTATGGTCTACAAGAATTAATAATGAATGTAATAGAATATTTTGTCCCCAAATAAGTCCCAGTGCATGCATGTCTTTAATAGTTAAGAAAGTGATAGATTGTTTATTGGATTCTGATGATGCCACCCGCACACCAAAATTAATTCCCAGGTCCATCAAAGTTTTACGTGTTTAAAGTAAAATTATTTTAAAAATATGAGCAGTGACCTTGTTGCCACATCTTTTTCAAAAAAAAATTAGTGTTTATTTTTGAGAGAGAAAGACAGAGCACAAGTGAGAGGGGGGCAGAGAGAGAAGGAGACACAGAATCAGAAACAGGCTCCAGGTTCTGAGCTGTCAGCACAGAGCCTGACGCGGGGCTTGAACTCATGAACTGCGAGATCATGACCTGAACCAAAGTCTGACACTCAACCCACTGAGCCACCCAGTCACCCCACAGTGACCTTAAGCCTTAGACCAACTAATTTGGAGTTAGAAAGACTCCAACCAATGCATAAAACCAATGCAAGTACTCAGAAAGAAAAACTTACATCACTAAGAATTAAAGCTTTAAAAAAAAATTGGTCATTATTAAAAGGCTAATGACAAACTGGAAACATGTTTGTAACAATAATAATAATAAAAAAGAATGGTGACCAAAAGTAAAACAGTATAGCTATAATCAGTAATGAGTTCTGACAAATTAAAAAGGAAATCGCTAACATCCCAACAGAAAAATAGCAAATGTCCTAAGTGAACAGCTCATAGAAGAAATGTAAATAGACATTAAACATATGAACAACTTCAGAGTCATTAGCAAAGAAATAAAAATTAAGATGATGAAATTCTTTTTCACACTGGCAAAGCCTTTCTTGATTCCTTCCTTCCTTCCTTCCTTCCTTCCTTCCTTCCTTCCTTCCTTCCTTCCTTCCTTTTTTTCTTTTCTTTCTTTCTTTCTTTCTTTCTTTCTTTCTTTCTTTCTCTTTCTTTCTTTCTTTCTTTCTCTCTTTCCTTCCTTTCTTCTTCCTTCCTTCTTTCCTTCCCTACTTCCCTCCCTCCTTCCTTCCTTCCTCCCTTCCTTCCTTTCTCTCTCTCTCTTTCATTCTTTCTATTTTTAAGAATGACAATCAGTGATGGTAATGATGGGTTGGAATGTATACTGCCCTGAACCACTGGTGATAATGTAAGTTATTACATTTCTAGAGAGTAATTTGTTAACAGGTCTTTTAAAGTTTTATATCTTTTGATTTGGTAATTATACTGCTAGGAAATGAGCCTAAGACAATTATCACATATGTGGACCAAGATTTCTGTATAACAATGTTCATTATTATTCATAATAGTGTAAAATTAGAGGGAGAGGGGAGGAACTACTTAAATGCTAAATAATAGTGTGGGAGGGTCCCCTCCTCAAGGAGAGAGAAAAAAGGAAGAGAAAACTTCAAGGTGACCTGGCTATGCACGCACGTGACAACATCCCTCATGACCTTGTAAACTGAGACTACTTAATCAAACTACACGTTTGTGTGTGTTACTATATATGGGGGACAAAGAACTAGAAAATGTATAAAAAAAAAACCATGGCACATATCGTGCGGGGCTCAGTTCTTGGGGTATGGACCCAACTAGGCGGTGCAGGCACAAATAAAGTTGCTTCCTGGAAATTAAAAAGCCTCGGTGTCATGACTCTCTGTGCGAGAATCCTGCTATGGTAGAAAATAAGGGCACCTGGGTGGCCCAGTGGCTTGAACATCTGACTCTCGATTTCTGCTCAGGTCATGTTCTCATGGTTCCCGAGACTGAGCCCCCCGGTGGGCTCCACACTGAGCGTGGATAATGCTTACTCTCTCTTCCTCTGTCCCTCCCCCCAACTCATGCACACTCTCTCTCTCAAATAAATAAATAAATAAATAAATAAATAAAGGAAAATAAATTAGATCAATATTGGTACCCTTATGCAAAGGTCTACTATATAAATAAATATGAATATCATAGTTCCATAGAACCATTAAGGACGGGGGAAATGTTTTAAGCAGAGTGAGACATGCATACAGTATGACCTTAAATTTTTTTTTTTTAATTTTTGTTAACATTAATTTATTTTTGAGACAGAGACAGAGCATGAACGGGGGGAGGGCC